GTCCTGGGATTGAGCCCCGCATCGGGCTCCCTGCCCGGCAGGGAGTCTGCTTCTCCCTCTGATCCTCTTCCCTCTCATGCTCTCTGTCTCTCATTCTCTCTCTCAAATAAATAAATAAAGAAATCTTTAAAAAAAAAAAAAAAAGACAGTGTAGTATTTGGTGCATTATTTACACATAACAGAAGAGAATACACTACTGATACACACTTCTAAAAAGAAAGAAGACTTGAGCTTGTCTTCCATGTGGGGTTTAAAGAAGGGGTTGGTCAATGCCTCAGATGCTGTTACCCTTTGCTCTGCATCCAGCAGCAGCCTCTTCTCTAGGAGGTTCAGGAACAGACTACACTTGTACAGCCAACTGATTTTTGACAAAAGCACTCATGTAATTCAATGGGGAAAAGGAAAGTCTTTTCAACAATGGTATCAAAGCAACTGAATAAAAAAGTATGGGGAAAATAATGAACACCACACATAAGAATTAATTTGAGATGGATCACAGACTTAAGGGTAAAAGCTAAAACTTACAAACCCTCTAGAAGAAAACCTAGAGTATCTGTACAATCATGAGGTAAGGACTGATAGACTGGGCTTCATTCAAAAATTAGAACTTCTCATCAAAACACACCGTGAATAAATAGGCAAGCCACAGCTTGTGAGAAAATATTCAGAACACATATCTCACAAAGAGCCTGTATCTAGAACTCAATACAGTTGAGTTCTAGAACTCAATAATAAGACAGACAATGCAATTTTTTTAAATGGCAAAAAACTTAAACAGATACTTCACAAAAGACAATACCTGAATAGCTCATAAGCACATCAAAAAGTATTCAACACGTGTTCACCAAAAAAGCTTTATATAAGAACATCCATAGCAACTACATTTATAAAAATGCAAGTAGCTTAGGTGTCCATCAAAAGAATGGAAAACAAACTACAGTATATTTATTCAACAGAATATACAATAAAAGAGAATACACTACTGATACACACAGCAGTATAGATGGATCGCATAAACATTACACCCAAAGCCAGACCCCAAAATCTATTATTCTATTACATGAAATTCTAGAAAAGGTGAAACTAAGCTATGACAGTAAGTTGATCAATGTTTGATTCGTTGGCAATGGGAAAACTGGCTGGGAAGGAGACCAAGGAAACGTTCTTGGGTAATGAAAATGTTCTACAGCTTGATGAGGATGTGGTTACACAGGCAGACAGACTTACAAATTCATTGACTTATACAATTAATATCTATGCAGTTCATCATATGAAAAATTTACTTCAATAAAAATATAAAGGTATGCAGTTAATATTTTTGGGGGAAAAGAACTAAAGGTTTGTCTAATTAATTAATAAAAATATTATGCTATTTTCTGGGGGAAAAATAGTCATGGCAGGTTAGAAAACTAATTTGTTTCCCTCCAAAATTCCTTTTCCCTCAGAAGTGATTACAAGACTCTCAGGGGTATATTAGACAGATTTGGAAACCATTTCTAGACCTATAAGTGTTTCTAGGGTAAGGATATACATAAGCTTTTATTTTCTAGCCATCCCATCTGTAAAATGGGTATATGATCTTGCTTACCCCCCCAAGGAAGTCACATAGATTAGTAAATTAAAATTTGTCACAGTCCTAAGATCACTCTGGAATAAAAAGGTTAAAAAATTCAGTATTTTACATCCAATATTTTACTATTGTAAGACTCCTTCCAGGCTAAAATTAAACTAGTGAGTATAATTGCCACTGGCAAGATAGGCTCTGTCCCCATGCAACATTTGAAAAGGTAGCTTACATTGCTGAACCAGAAGCAAAGAGTTTTGCGTTGGAGTACTTCAATACGTTTTTATATTGCATATAAAGCACATAAACATAAACCAGTAAGATGCCTTGCTGAAAACTACCTTCTTTGTGAAAGCAGGCTGTAATTCTGAACAAGTTTTCAATTTTCACAGTGCTGCTAGGGTAAAACATTTTAAAGAGTTTAATTTTTTACAATGGATTCAATGACATAGGATTATCTAACAAAGTAATGGCTAATCAATAGAAGGTTTAGTTGTCAGGTGAAACATATAACACACTAAAAGGGATTGATTGCCAGACTTCTCCTTATTTACTAGAAGGTATATATTTAAAATGACACAAACTTGTTACCAAGCTGCATTCTTTTAACCTTGCAAAAAGCTGCTTAAGAAATCTGTTCAGCAGCCCTATAGCAAAACAAGATAGAGTATAATGAAAATGGCTAGTGACTGGGGGGCAGAAGGGGGGCGGGGAAGACAGGGACCTTCAGATATATGGTAACATCAAATCAAGTCCCCAGCAAGAATATGGGATAGAAGGGCGCCTGGGTGGCTCAGATGGTTAAGCGTCTGCCTTCGGCTCAGGTCATGATCCCAGGGTCCTGGGATCGAGTCCCACATCGGGCTCCCGGCTCAGCGGGGAGCCTGCTTCTCCCTCTGACCCTCTCCCCTCTCATGCTGTTTCTCTCTCGCTCGCTCTCTAAAAAATAAATAAATAAAATCTTTAAAAAAAAAGAATATGGGATAGAAAAAGCAAACTACCAGGCGACATCTAGGGAAGCTGGAACTGGGCTTTAAAAATGCCACACTAATCCTACCCAATCTCGTTCAATGGATGCAATGCTGTATCTGATCTCATTCCAAGTTACTCTTAGGGCAGATTTTTAAAAGACTCATACAAAAGGGCACAATAGGCATCCCCCCCACCCATCTTTTTGTTTTTCTTAAAATGGTAGATCCACATTAAGCACTGAACACAAAATGAACTGGGTCCATATGGACTTCGACCAGCATATAAGCTGGTAAATTATAAAATAAATTTATAATTTATTCACAATATCTCAAGTCTCTATATGAAAATACACTACTTTATGGTCATTGCAACCCGGGAGTTCAATAATATTTTTTCTACTAAGTCAGTGATTACACAATTTATCAAAGAATGATTACACTAAAATAAAAATAAAACAAAACACCAACCCCCTATACAGTCTTCCTTCCTCAAAGTAATTTTAAGAAAGCTGGTTATTAAATTGCTTCTTTTTGAAGAAAGGTTTTTGTAGCTAGACACAAATTGCCAAACCATGTTTTTTAAAAAAAAAGTTATTAGACTCTGAAGGATTCAGCCGAAGTGGGAAGTTAAGTAAACAAATCACTTCATCAGACTTGGAAAGATCACTTTTGTCTTACTTAAGAGACCTACATTAATTACCTTTAAGGTCTTTTACATGGACTATTTAAAATAAGTACAATTTATTTATTTATTTCAAATGAGGTGCTTCTTCCAAAGTATTAAATAATGTCTACAAATGCAAAAGCATTTTTATAAATAGGTAATTAAAACAGATGACTAAAATTAAGTCAAGCTGCAAAACATTACCCAGGATGCACTGTGATTTTTTTTTTTTTAATAAACATCTCAGGCAATTTTTTTCCATCCAAAGCCCAAAACACTTCGGGGGGTGGGGGGGGAGGAGAGGTAGAAAGTTTCATAGGGAAAAAAAACACACATATATAATGAAATAATGCCAAACCCCAAACTAAAGTATTTACAAGATAGTCCCTTAAGCATAGTTTGTCATATTGCAATTACACCTCGCCTACTGCCAAATCAAAATGCTTACTATTGCCACTAGAGGGAGAAATGTCTTAACACAAAGCAACGGCAGATAGGGAATGGGTTTTCTTGAGCAATTATCAGAACAAAGCTCCCCTGGCTGTGTGTACCTTCTAATTACTCAATACAATTAAAATGACTAACCTAAAACAAATAGAAAAAAAAAAAAACTTGCCTAGCTAATATCAGGGACTTCATTAAACCTTTTCCCCTCATCAATCAAATCAGAAAGAAGGGAATGCCATCATATACAAACATTATAGAGCTATTAAAGGAAATAAATTCAGTGAGTTTCTTCTTTTTTTTTTTCTAAAGGAAGAAAAGAAGTGGCTCTCTTGAAAAAAGAAATGTCGTGGTATTTACCCATCCGGATGCTGCCTGAAAACAAATTGTCCTCCAAAGAGCAGAAATACAGTATGTTTTCTCTCAGTTCACTGGCTTATGAATGACTTTTTGTTGTTGTTGTTGTTTTGTTAATACACACTATAATGTCATTTTCTGTGTCAGTGATGTGCTTTTTCCTCCTATTCATCCAACTGTATAAAGGAGCTATGCCAATCAGACCTCCATGCTTATATGGGGCTGTTTAAGTTCTTCACTGCTGTTTTTTATGGATCTACTCTAAGGTAATATTTAGAACACCATAGGAATTTAGGGGCATGGTGGTAGGAAAGGAAAACATCTACTTTTTCCTTCTAAAAGGCTTATGTAGTTCCCTTTATAAGGCCCAGTCATTAACAGAAGATGACAACAGAGTCATTTTTCTTTCAGCTGACAATTGTGACATTTTTCCAGCAGCGTGCAAGGTGTTGAAAACCTGGCAGCTGTTACCTCCTGGGATGAAGATACTTTTTTATCCTCCCTTGACAGTTTAACTCAGTGGGTCAGCACCTTTAAAGACTGCAAAGTATCCTTGAAGAGGATGGAAGCTTGAATTACGGCTCCCTCCCTAATCAATGTAAACCCTCACTGCAGGTGAAGTCTCCATCTATAGAGGTGCACGGGGGAGGAAAATGTAATGCCCTGAGCCAGATGGTTTTTATCTTGTTTTTAAAGAATAAAGGAACAAGCTAACAAGGGAGACAGCTACTTTGTTAGCTTCTTGGCCTCTCTCATGGCTTTGCATCCCCAGGGTTCCAGCTACACAAGAGAAAGAATACAGAAAAACGTAAACACTTAAAGAAATATAACTAGAGGGCTGGCATCATGCTGCTTTCAAAGAGTTGAGAGAGCTCTACTCAATGCTTTATTTATCACTGCCCACGTTCTCAGGATGGTAAGTGGACACATAGACAAAGGGAATGGGGGATGGGGGAAGGATTAGACAGAGGTCACAATTTACTCAATTACAGAGAAAGGCAGGGCTGACAGATCCTATTAGCACCAATGTGAAGGAAAGAAGGAGTTGCATGTTGTAAGGCTACATTTTCAAAAAGTAATGAGTACTTTCCTGTATCCTCCCAGGCCTTTGCCCTTGTTTGCAGATATGAATAAAAGCTCTGAAAACAGTTGCTATGGTTTCCTTGGCTTCACATTTTAGGAACAAAAAGTAGAAAGAAAATTGTAGCCGCTGTGTACATTCTTTAAACAAAAGTTCACACTTTACTTAATGCGCAGAGGTAAGAAGATTATTCCCAAATTCAGAGACTTAAAAGGATACATTGCTTCTCTTTCCCCACCAACTCTCCTGCCTTCTGATATTGGAAATGAAATGGAAAAACAGGTATACAAGATGGCTTGGTGACACAGGGCGTAGTGTCTCCTGACTTTCTCCTTCAATATTTTCGTTTTCTGCTAACGTCTTTGTCAGGTTTTGGAATTATGGTTATGGTGGCCTCATAATACAGTCAGGAAATGTTCTTTCCTTCTCTATTTTCTGAGTTTGTACAAGAGTAAGTTATTTATTCCTTAAATATTTGATAGAATTGACCAGCGAAACCATTTGGGGGCCTTTTGATAATGTGATTTCTTTAATAGACATTAGGCTATTCAAATTTATTTCACCTCGCATTGGTTTCAGTAAGCTGTATTTTTCAAGGAATTTGTCCATTTCATCTAAGTTGCCAAAACTGTGGTTTAAAGTTGTTCATAATATCCTCTCATTATCCTTTAAATGTCTGTAAGAATTGTAGTGATGACCCTTCATTCAGCTCCTCCAATGATTAAATAACTCAAAGTTACCACACAGTGGTTATAGTCTATCATCACCTGTGAACTTAAGAACAGTATACGTAAACTATAAAATCAGTTTAAAACAATACTAAACTTGTTAACTGAATATTTTAAAATCAACAGTGAAAGAGTTCCTGAAATCCCATTAGAAATATCTGCAAAAGAATCTCAAGGGAGGGGCGCCTGGGTGGCTCAGTCCTTAAGCGTCTGCCTTCGGCTCAGGTCATGATTCCAGGGTCCTGGGATTGAGCCCCGCATCGGGCTCCCTGCTCGACCGGGAGCCTGCTTCTCCCTCTTCCACTCCCCCTGCTTGTGTTCCCCTCTCTCACTGTGTCTCTCTCTGTCAAATAAATAAAAAATCTTTAAAAAAAAAAAAAAGAATCTCAAGGGATTGGCCTACATGATGCAAATCCTACTTACATCAACACTAGGTAAAACACTAGGCAGCCTTGACATCTTTTTATCTGTACAACTTGACTAAAGTAGGGGGGTGGGTGGGGAGCAAATGGCACTTCATTATTGTCGTGCAACAGGGAAAAGAGGGAGTTTAAACAGCTTATATATTATGTCCTACATTAAAAAAATCAGCAGTGGGGTAATCAAGTTCAGGGCAATCTTGGACAGCTGCCCTGTGACCCGCTTCTATTGACCCCTGCTATTCATCACTCTTCCCTAAGATTGAGAGGGCAAGCTCCTAGGGAGTGACCACCACAATAGACAGACACAAGCCAACAGTAATCTGGTTCGAGCAAAAAACCAGATGGCACTGCAATAAATTTACAAATCTGCATTCATGGGGCTGTTAAAACACCCAGAAGCTAAAAGATTCAGAGGGCCCCAGGAGGATCTCCTACTTCCCTGTTTCTAAAGGCCATTTCTCTTTCCAAGAACACTGAGTTCATGCTCTTCATAAAGAGAATAGAGATAAAGCCCTTTACAAAAGAGAGGAGGGGAAAAAGCCTCATGACCTAATTAATCTCCAGAGCTTGGATCTCAACACTGAATGACAGATATTAGAAAAATCATTTTGGAGCACTAGGAGGAAAGACAAAAACAAAAACAAAATGGTTGTTATATTAAAGTGGAGAGGGTGAAGTGAATCTGCTAAAAAGCAATGAAAAAGCCACAGCATATCTCTTTCAAATACTGCACACAACTGATCTTGCAAGTAGAAAATGATTCAATAATGTTTGCATTTATTTTTAAAATGAATCAGATTAGTCCCATGTGTGACCTGCTGGTCCATCTGTATGTGCTGGACTTAATAGGCACGATTCTCTCTCTTGCTTCAGTTTGAAGTATGAGAGAGATAAATTTAGTTTAATTTTCAACAGATCAGCCTATCCGTTTTCCAAATGGACCATCTGGATCAGCCTATTAAAATTAATTTATAACTTTGCAGAGTGAAAATTCGTTTGTTAGCTTAAATAAAGTTGCCAAAACTTTTTGTCGTGTCATTGTTTTCTGACAGTTGTTTCTGTATAGTGGGCAGAGTCTTTCCACATCTAAATTTATCTTACTCAATACTGTTCTATTTATTTAGATTTATATATCAGGTGTTTGTCTCCAAATAGTTAAAGTTGTAACTACACAGTATCAATTATTAATCATTCAGGTTTTTTATAAAAGCTTCCTGAATGGATTCAGTTCTATTTACTAAACAATTATTTTTATCAAAAAGGAAAAGTGCCCATCCCCAAATTTTTACCATATAGTAAATAAAAAATGAGTATATCACAGCGTCAAGTACTTTTTCCCTACAGTAACACTGTTATATGAACTGGAATCAGAAGGCAGAAGTAGAAATGCTTGAGCAACATTGAGATCTGGGTTTTAAATCACTGACGAGCTAATAAGCAAGTCATCCAACCTCCCTCAGTCTCCATTTTCTTCATCTATAATCGGAGGCCCTATCTTCCAACTTTGTAGGGTGATTGTGAGGATGGAATGAAACAAATAGCAGGTTTGTGGTGGGCACTAAACAAATATTAGACCTCTTTTTTTTTTTCCTAAGAATGCTGTAAGTGTAAGTAAATTGAAATTATTTTGGCTACTGCTGGTGCTCATCTTATCCAAAAGTGAAGAGGTGGTATACCTATTCTCTGGCAACACTGTAAGAACTTGTTTTTGTTGCTAGTGGGAGACAGAAGATGTTAGAGGTTGCTGAAGTCAGTGAGAAGAGCAAAATTTTTAAGCAAATGTTTTTGGACATTTTAATTTTAAAAAAGAGAGCACCATGGAATTAACTTTCAAAGTAAAATGTGTTACCTTTGGGGAGTGGCGTACAGTGAGGAAAAAAATTTTTTTAAAGTTATCATCAATAATGGCCTTTACTTTTAGAAAAGGCAAACAAATACTGCTCAGACTAAAAGGAGCTAACTTCACTAGAGGCAGATCCCTTCTGATTGTTAATTTTTAAAAAATGTATTAAGAATCTCACAAGGAAAATAAGATTTAAAGCCAACTATTCTACTATTTGCACTTAAGAAGCATTTCAAGTTATTTTTCCTGAACAAGAAAACTTTTCTTTGATGTTGTTTTCACTAAACGTAAGCAATCAACCTGTCCTGTACTTGTACACCTAGGATATTTTTAAATGACTGGGAAAACAATGTTACCGGATTGAAATTGATGGCTATAGCCACCTCAACTTCAGAGTACTTTTAATTTAAGCTCCAGTGCTTAACGAATGGCAAATTGAGGGTTTCCTGTCTTTTGTTTTGTTGTTGGTAGTTTTTTATTTTAAGACAGACTGAATTTCATACCTGTCTAAGTGAATTCTTCTCTGGTATTATCTTCCTAGGGGGTTCGCCATTATTACAGTCTTCTCTCTCTGAGGAATTCTGTGAAAGAAAGTAAGCTTTAATTCAGTTCTCATTATCTTCAATCTTATTCTGTGGGAGTAAACTGAATTACATTTCTAATTCTGTAAGCTAGAATACCATGTATATTTCTGCATTTATTCATTTGAAGATTTATATACATACAGACATACACTTATGTAGAGGAAAACATATGCCCATGTATATAAATAAATGTAAGTAGGGACCTAGGTGGAAAGTATTTCATTTATATTTAAGCACTGCCCAGCAGATCACAGTCATCAGAAATCTAGTTTATTGCTCTTTGAAAACGCAGGTTGACACTGGACACAAGAAAGCTCCAGTTTATACTTAGCTGGCAATAACTTAGACCATGATTATTACCTTCTCTTTTAAATAATTAGTCTTAAACTATAGTAAATGTTTGGTCACTAGAAATTCTCAAAGTCTGGATCCTAAAATAAATAGTTCTTTCTCTTCTTCCTCTTCTCAGATTTGATTTTCTTTTATTAAAAATAACATAGTACTTAGTTCAAACAACATCATTTCATCAACGGTTTAAAATTAGAGTCCATTCTTGCCACTATCACCTCAAACGGCAGCTAGAAGACCATAAATGTCAATGGGATTTTTTAAATACTTAAGAAAAGGGGAAAAAACAACAATCCACTTGAAAGCGACTTCAGAATTCTAAATATCAACAGAGTAATAAAATAGCAACCCATGGGATGGGAGAAAATATTTGCAAATTACGTATCTGATGGAGGATTAATATCCAGAATATATAGGGGTGCCTGGGTGGCTCAGTTGATTAAGCAGCTGACTCTTGATTTCAGCTTAGGTCATGATTTTGGGGTCCTGGGAGGAGTTCCACATCGGGCTCTGCGCTCAGCAGGGAGTCTGCTTTAGGATTCTCTTTCTCCCCCTCCCTTTGCCCCTCCCCTCCAATTCATGTGCGCACGTGTGCACACTCTCTCTAAAATAACCTTTTTTTTTTTTAAATCCAGAATATAGAGAGGTTGTAAAACTAAACAAACAAAAAACCCCAAGCAAACCAATTCAAAAATGCACAAAGGACTTGGATAGACATTTTTCTAAAGAAGATACACAAATGGCCAACAAGCACATGAAAAGATGTTCAACATCACTAATCATTTCAGGAATGTAAATCAGAACTACACAGAGACACCACATCACATTCATTAAGAAAGCTCTATCAAAAACAGACAAAAACTAAAATATACATTGGCAAGGATGTTGAGAAATTGGAACTATTATGCACTGTTAGTGGGAATATAAAAGGATACAGCTGCTGCGGAAAACAGTATGGTGGTTCCTCAAAAATTAAAAACAGAATTATCATATGATCCAACAATTCCACTTCTGGATATATACTCAAAAGAACTGAAAGCAGAGTCTCAAGAGATAATTTGTACACCTGTGTTCAGAGCAGCATTAACCACAATAGCTAAAACATGGAAGCAACCCAAGTGTCCAGTGACTGATGGAAGGATAAATAAAATGTGGTGTAATACATCAATGGAACAGTATTCAGCCTTAAAAAGTAAGGAAATTCTGGTACATACTACAACATGGATGAACCCTGAGGACATTATGCTAAGTGAAATAAGCCAGTCACAAAAAGATAATTACTATATCAATCCACTTATATGAGATACTTAAAAGTAGTCAAAATCATACAGAAAGCAGAATGGTGGTTGCCAGGGGCTGGGAGAAGTAGGGGAATGGGGAATTATTGTTTAATGGGTATAGAGTTTCAGTTTTACAAGATGGAAAGTTATGGAAACGGATAGGGGTGATGGCTGCAAAATATTATGAGTATATTTAATACCACTGAACCGTACACTTAAAAAATGGTTAAGATGATAAATTTTATGTTATATGTACTTTTAAATGCTAAAATTAAGTGTTTTATGTAATACAAACTTAAGTCAGTACTGAATTATAAACTTAAAACTTGCAAGTAACTATTCCCCAGACCATGAAGTTCCACCCTCCTTTAAATAAAATATCATTTATAATCCAAACTGGTTTAATTCAATGTAAAGTCCTATATTTCAACATTAATTATGTTTTATTAAAATGTCATCATAATAAACTTGGAAGCCTATTTTGGTGGAAGTTTGTAATAGTGAAGTTATTATAAATCACACTTTTACTCTATAGGTGACTGGGGTGAAACAAAATTGATGGTAAACTATGTACTAAATTACATAGTAAAAATAGTAATGTGAATGTAATAGAATGAGCAGCATCTAGTCCCTATCCACAATTTTCTTCCTCCTGACCCTCTATTTTATCTGATTTAGATGAGGAGCTGTTGAGTGGGTATCACTAAATTTCTGTTTTTAGCTTAAAATAGAGGTAGGGACATTAACAAGTCATGATATCAGGAGCAAGGAGTAAGGTACCCTTCTAACAGTGAAGAGGAGAGCCAGAAAGCCAGCAAAAAAGCAAATAGGAGATGAATAGTTCACAGTCTTGAGGGTGGAGGGAAATGATGAAACACCCTTGTATAACTAAGTGGTCACCTCAGCGGTTCTCAAAGCCTGTGTGTTCTCCAACATCACCCAGGAGAGCTCAGCAGCACAGTTATCCCTCTTATCTTTATCATGATGCATCCCAATAAGCAATGTTCATTAACTGTCTGGGTCATCAAACTAAATCATATCCAGTAACTTCTATTTAAGGGTAACCACTTGATAAAAGCAAGACTCATGCCACAAATTAGTGGGTTAAAGTTAAACAAGTAACAGGATAGTTACATAATCTTAAAATACGGCTCCATGAGATATTTAATAATTACAAAAGGAAAAACAATAACCTCACAGTAGAGACATATGGTAGACACCACCTTAACATTATGTGCCTCTTAGGCGCCTGGGTGGCTCAGTTGGTTAAGGGACTGCCTTTGGCTCAAGTCATGATCCCGGGATCCTGGGATTGAGCCCCGCATCGGGCTCCCTGCTCAGTGGGGAGTCTGCTTCTCCCTCTACCCTTCCCCCTGCTTGTGATCACTTTTTTTCCTCTCTCTCTCTCTCAAATAAAATCTTAAAATAAAAAAAAAACAAATAAAACATTATGTGCCTCTTGATATGATGTACGAGAAGAACACATTATTACTTTTGAGGTAGCCTTGCCCAAAACACATAATCTCAATCTGATCATAAGAAAACATTAGACTAACCCAAATTGAAGGATAGTCTAAAAAATTACTAGTCTGTACTTAACAAATAATGTCAGCGTCATGAAATACAAAGAAAGACTAAGGATCTGTTTCAGGTGAAAGGAAACTAAAGAGACATGACAACTGAATGCAACCTGTGATCTGAGATTATTTTGGGGGGTTAAAGCAAAATTGATGGTAAACTTCTCTATACAGAATTATATACTGAAAAACAGTGATCTGCACCTAACAAGATGAGTAGTGCCTCTCTAGCCCATACCCACAATTTTCTTGCTCCTGATCCGCAATTTCATTTGATTTTGACAGGTAACTATTGGGTGGGCATCATGACATAATGGTATAAAGGACATTATTGGAACAATTGGGAAAATCTGAATAAGTTCTATAGATGAGCTAGTAACACTGTATCGATGTTAATTTCCTGATTGTTTCCCCACTTTTAAAACTTATATATAGAAAAATTCACTTGTTTTGGTGTACAATTATATGAGTTTTGGCAAAAAGCATACAGTTATGTAACTACCACCATAATCAAGATGTAAAGCAGTTCATCATTTCCCAAATTCTCTTACACTGTCCCTTTACAGTCAACCCCTTTCCCTCATAATCACAGATTTTTTTCTCAATAATTTTCGTTTCCAAAATGTCACAAAATGGAATCATATAGTATATAATTTTTTAAGTCTTTTTCTACCTAGCTTAATACATTGGAGGTTCATTTGTGTTGTTGCATATATCAGTAGTCATTTCCTTTTTTAAAAAAAATCTTTTATTTACTTATTTTAAAGAGAGCAGTGTACAAGCAGGGGAAGGGAGACGGACAAACAGACTCCACACTGAGCCCAGAGCCCGACGTGGGGCTCAATCTCACAACCCTGAGATCATGACTTGGGCCAAAATCAAGAGTTGGATGCTTACCTGACTGAGCCACCCAGGCGCCCCAGTAGTCCTTTCCTTTTTATTGCCAAGTAGTATCACTATATAGATGTACCACCATTTGTTTATACATTCAATTTCCTCATTTCGATAATTTGTACTATGGTTATTTAAAAGAATGTCCTTGTTTTTAGGAAACATAGAATGAAACACTTATGTTGGTAAAAGGACATTATGTCTGTAACTTGCAAATGGTTCAGAAAAAAATAAGTAAATGGATGTGAGCATATATATGTACGTATAAATAGAGCAAATGTGGTAACATGTTATCATACAGAGAATCTGTGTGAAGAGTATAAGGGGATTCTTTGCATTATTCTTTCAACAGTTCTGTAAATCTGAAATCATGTAAAAATAAAAATTAACAAGTAAAATAGATGAAACCTAGAAGAAAATATCTTAAAAAATGGAAAAATAGAAGTCAGATAAATGAAAAATAAATTTTGGGGGGAAAATTCCCTTGAATATAAATAATAAAAGTTATATTCTACTACTTAACCCTGAGCCAACTAGAAAAACCTGACTGCTTCAAACAACTCATTTGTAACACTCAGATTGAACATTTCATTATAGTAAGTACATCTGCAGAATGTATTTGTAGTCCTGGAGTAACAATATGATATAAATAGTAGCTTCATATTAAAATATTTCTGAAAAAGATACTACATAATTTGTTACCTTTCACATTCATGCAAATATTTCTCTCTTCGCCCAGCATTTACTAGTTTAGAATTAAAAGAGGCAGACTAAAAGTCTGGCTGACAACTTTGAATTGTAACTTCAAACTGGAAGCATTTGGGTGTAACACCTATAGACATAGTAACAGACGTTTGGATAGGAAAAAGTCAATAAAGTGAAATAATGCTGAAGCTTGTGC